GGCTCGATTTCTCTTGAGGATCCCGATCCTGAGCCACTATAAGGGGTTCAACACGGGCTCCACAAGGATTCGAACATCGGGTTTAGGGTTTAAGGCTCGGGGCTCAGGGTTTTTAGGGCTGATAGGATTTAGATTCTAGGGTTTTGCAGTTCTACAAGGGTTCTATAGCTCTAGACAAGAGATGAAGGATGCTACTGTTCAGTCTGTTTCCTTCCAACCCTTACAGGGCTTGTCCCAAGTAGCGGAGCAGTCTGGAATGCCACCTTGAAACGAGTCTCCAAAACCCTGAAATGTTGATCCTCAAGACGTTCATACCTACCTTAAGAACTCAAAACCTACTTTTTTTGTAGGGTCCCTAAAACATCCATATTCGGGTTTATAATAATAAGAACCTACAAAAATGTGGGTTCTGGGTTCTTAAGGTACACCCTGATCCATCATGCCCAAAGTATTTACTGGAAGCCTGCATCCCTGTGCCCTTATAAACTAGAACCCTAAACTGCCGGAGCTCCAGTGGCCCTAAATAGTAAGTTACTATTCCACATACTTTGTAGTCCAGTAGCCCATCATTTAGATAGCTGGACCCCGATTTTAGGGCTGAGGGGGGTTAGAATTGGGGTTATCCGCTCCCTAACTGGGCTTATCCTGATTATAACCTTAAAACCTTACTTACCAAGTTCCATTGAAACGACTCAATCAACCTTAAGTCATTTTAGGGATCCGCTGGTACCCCAAAGTGCCAGAAAGTCCCGTCTCCGCCGCAGCGGCTGCAGTGCCGAGCGTGTCCGTAGCTGACACGAACCACTGACGAAATGCCGGGCGCTTGTGGTTTAGGGTTTAGGGTTCAGGATTTTGGGATTAGGGAGTAGGGTTAAGTAATACTAAGTTTAGTATTTGGAACTTAGGGTTCAGGGGTTTTAGGGTTTGAGGAAATGCCGGGCGTGCGGTGGAGGGTGTGGCCCTTCATTTCGAGGGTGCAAGTATATCAGGTTCTGGTTTCGTGGGTTTTAGAGTAAGTATCAGGCTTTGGCTTAGGGTTTGTTTTCGCATTCTGTTCAGATCACTAGCCTATCAGGATATGGTAAGTACTAGGGTTTTGGCTTGGGGTTTCTTTTCGCATTCTGTTAAGATCACTAGCCTATCAGGATAGGGTAAGTACTAGGCTTTTGGCTTAGGGCTTCTTTTCGCATTCTGTTAAGATCACCAGCCTATCAGGAACGGGCTAACATGTATGCAGTCGGTGGAGTCTTCTGCAGAGTTCCGAGGGAGGACGCAGCGAGCGCACGATTCTTCAACTTAGGTGCTCAATGGGAGAACTTTAAACTTTCTGGCCTTATATATTAAGTCTATCCTAAAAAGCTTGAACTTTTTTGGGCCTTGTTGTTGAAGAAGAGAGTCAATGAACAGACCCCAGGGCCTTGCTTGGAAGGTCGGGGGGACTTAGGAAGTAGGTAGTAAGTAGAGTTATAATAAGCGCCCAGTTGCGATCCGACTTAGTTATGCTATTGAAAACTCTGTAAGATAACTGAATACTAAGTCCGTCGACCCTCCAAGATAGCGTTTACGGTCGAGTCCACCGTACTGTAGTAGCGCTTTCTCAAAATATTGTGGAAGGCCCTGAACGAGATAATAGAGGTCATGGCAAGTCGATATAATGGTCTTTAGGATTGCTGGTGACCTTGTGTTTGGCGTCCTTTTCCGTAAACCGGAGATAATGACACGACTTTGTAATCTGTGAGACTCCAGAACTCATACTTAACCCCGACTCCTCAAATCACTGGATCTGTGAAAATGAATCCCCTAAACCTGAAACCCTAAACCTATATGTAAACCCTTGACGGATATCGGAGCCTCTGGGTATTGGTCTCCGTTGGAGTTGGGTTGATTGTCACTCCAAACTCTTTTGTAGCTAGCCTCAGTTCGTAGAATAGCATGGGATGTCATAGCTGACTTCTAAGATCTAGGAATTCCCGAACCCTCATGCCTCAACACGGCACCCAACAGCACTTGGGATGGTAAGGCCCTAAACCCTAAACCCTAAACCCCAGAGCACTCTGTCGAACCATAGGCTGTCAGCCACACGGTTTAGGTTTTACGGGGTTGAGGTGTATGGTTTGCGGGCTTAAGGTTTAAATTTGTGTATATCGTAATTGAACACTAACAGCCGTAAACCCCAAGCCCTGAACCATAAGCCCTACACTATACTATACTCTACTATTTACTATACTCTACTCTATATTCTATTCTACTCTACTATACTGTACTATACCATCCTAGCAATATACTAAAACGATTATGCTATATACAAGTACTATACAAATACAAATACTATACTATACTACACGAAACAACCCTAAATCCTAAACCCTAAACCCTAAACCCCTAAACCCTAAACCCTAGACCCTAAACCCTAAACCCTAAGCTCCCTATATAAGCCCTAAACTCTAAACCCTGCTATGCTACATGGTACTTTGCTAAACCCACTGTCCCCAGTGACAGAAACCCCGAGGTCGCTGTGGAGCAACACCTCCTACGAGGGGCCCAGGGCCTCGGGCAGTTTTAGGGTTTAGGGTTTAGGGTTTAGGGTTTAGGGTTTGGGGTTTAGGGTTTAGGGTTAAGAGTGTAGGGTGTAGGGTTTAGGGTTAAGGATGTAGGGTTTAGGGTTTAGGACTTAGGGCTTTGGGTTTAAGGTTTAGGTGTGGGATCCAGCCCAACGTAGACCTTAGGGACTATTATAGGTTTTAGGGTTTGTTAGGGACTGGGGTCTTAGGGACTAGGGTGTAGGGGCTGGGGTTTTAGGGTTTGGGGACTAGGGTTTAGGGACAGGTTCTGGGGTTCTAGGGTTTAGGCTTAGGGTTTGAGGTTTAGGGTTTGGGGTTTAGGGAGTAGGGTTTAGGGTTTAGGGGTGCAGGGCTTTGGGCCCTAAATATCCCGATAAGACCAAAACCCTAAAGGGCTTATGGAAGAAGCACGGGCAAGGGTGTCAGACTTCAGAATCAGTAGACGTTGAGTTTCAAGGGAGGCTAGATCTCGGGATGAGGTGCAATGCTTCGGGAGTCATAAGGGGTTGAGGGCTTGGGTAGCCAAGCCCTTTGATTTTGAAACCGTGTTTTTTTTTCGGGGTTTAGGGCTTAGGGATTTCCTGGATGAGATAGTGCATGTTGAGGGAGCAGCAGTTTATGAGTCAGCGTTACTGGCCTGAGCAGAAAACCCTGCGCAAACATCGGCGCATTGGATTGGTGAAGAGCTCGGGATATTAGCTTGTAAACTAAATGGACATGTCTGAGGATTCTGGTACGGGGAATGTTAAGTTTGCATGGCTGCTTGATTCAACAATATCCTCCAACTCTAAGCCCTAAAAGCCCCAATGCCGAACACTAAACCCTAAACCCTAACCCCCTAATTGCCCCTAAACCCCAAAACCCTAAACCCCTAATCCCTAAACGCCAAGCCCAAAGGCTTTAAACCCCTAGCCTAAGACCTTTGAACCTTACCTAGACTCGAGACCTGCGAGAACCTACCTTTCTAAGCACTTTTATAAAGAAATCAGTATAAGGAGCCCCTACAAAGGTAGGTTATTTAGGTTTTTTAAGGACTTTCATAAGGAAGTCATGATAAGGAGCCCTAAAAAGGTAGTAGGTTCCTTAGGGTTCGGGTAGATCCTGAGCCCTGCGTTCTAGGAAGGTTGCGCTTCCAGCCTTCATGGCCTGGGGCTCTCATGGGCTTTAGGGTTTAGGGGTTTAGGGAGTTTAGAGGTTTAGGGTGTGGGGCTCTAATGGGTTTTAGGGTTTTGGGTTTGGGTTTTCGGGGTTTAGAGGTTTACGGTTTTGGAGTTTAGGGCTTCAGTGTTGTGGATTTAGGTTTTCGGGTTTATAAGGATTGGAGCATGCCTGCCCAGAAACATAAACAGAGATGTGTTTGGCTTGGCCGATCGTCTGGTTTAGTTGTTGTTTTATGCTGCATTCGCCGCAATAAAAAGCTAGTACGTGCCTGGCGGTTGCATTCCGTTCGTGCCTCGTTCATCTATCTCATGCTTTCATTCGTTGCACTCATCAGGCGTAAATAAGTGAGGCAAGGACGCACAGAACAGAAATTGCACGGCAACAGCTACAGGTTCCACGAATCGTCCTTTGTTCACGTTTCAGGCAAAGGAAACTGCCATGTTTCCCCAGAAGCAAGCGCGACGATTGGGGATCTGATCTTCAAGATTACGCTTCATAGTTTTTGGCTGCAGGGTTCTGGGTTCCTTAGCAAAGGCTTCTATGATGTTCTATGGTGTAGGGTAGCTTTTGGAGCGAGGGTTTAGAGAATGTTGTAAAAAGGTCATGGTAAATATTCCTAAGAACCAGCGTGTGGCGCGGGTTCGTGCTGAAGCCTGTCGCCATGGACATTTCAACGACGGAGCAGAAGAGCCTCGCCATTTTCTACAATGGCAAGGAGATTGCCGGCAACACGTCTATCACCGGAAAACAACTCAGTGGTGTGGAAACAGGTGGCACTTTCACAGTTGTTTGAGATGACTTAGCAGTTCTTTGAGCGTGTCGGTAGAGCTTACAGATGTCCTGAACGAGGTCGCACTGCAGGATCGTCGTCCAGGATCAGGGATCAAGACGAGAGTTGAGAGTTTAGGGTGTACCTGGACCCTAAAGAACCTACGCTTTTAAGGGCTCCTACGAAGGTACCCTTTTGGAGTGGTAGGTGATCTCGGGTTTAGGATTTAGAAAGATCGTTGTACTGCACAGTGCGGAAAGCAAGCGTTTTCGGACTTTGCACCGTAAGATCCTGAGCACGCCTGAACCCAAATCCGCAAGTCGAAACCGTCGTACACCCAAACTCTGAACGTACGTAGAATATGGAGCTAAATCCTAAACCCTAAACCCCAAGACCTAAACGCTAAACCCTAAGCCCTAAACCCTAAACCCCAAGCCCTGATTAAACCCTAAGCCCTAAACCCCTAAAGCCCGAAACCGTGAACATCGCCAGACCCTAGCGCCACCGAGGCCGAGCAAGAACGAGTGGTATGAAGGAGAAGGGAAGTTTACGCCGGCCGCCGAGCATGCCTGGTTTTTATTCTAGGTCTTTAGGGCTTTAGGGTTTGAGGGTTTTAGGATTAACTATAGTGTTAGGGTGCTAGGTTTATGAGGATTTGGGGTTTATAGGGTTCATAAGGTTTTTACGGTTTTGAGGGTTTAAAGCTTTGGGGTTTAGGGTTTCATTCGGGTTTAAGTGCATTATATAAGCATGAGACATGGTGTAGATTTTAGGCTTTGGGGTGGCGGGTTTAGCAAGGTTTAGCACCGCAGAAGTTGCCTCGACCGCCCGATGTAAATATGCTTGGCTTGTGGCCGAAAGGACAGACCGCTTTTCCGTTTGTTGGCAGGGTCTAGATTTAGTTCAAGTTGTGAAGCTGTCCCTCCTCCTTGTAACAGTAGATAGGGTAAGGGCCATTTGGTCCTCGAGGTTTAGCTGTTGAAGTACAGCCGGAGCCCAGGTTTCCCAACGGGGTCGTCTACGTCGGCCAGCCGTGGTCTCAGCTTGGCTTTGGTGGTTTAGGCTTCAGGGTTTTGGGGTTTAGGGGTTAAGGGTTTTGGTTTTTAGGCTTTAGGGTTTTGGGGTTTAGGGGTTAGGGGTTTTGGTTTTTAGGCTTTAGGGTTTTGGGGTTTAGGGGTTAAGGGTTTTGGTTTTTGGGCTTGTGGGTTTGGGGGTTTAGGGGTTAAAGGTTTTTGGGTTTAGGCTTTAGGGTTTAGGGGTTTAGGGTTTTGGGGTTTGGCTTTTGGGTTTGGGGGTTTTTGGGGGTTAAGGGCTTTGGGTTTGGTGGTTTAAGTTCGACCGTTGAACCCCGAAGCCTAGCTGCTCAATCGGTTTAAGGACACCACAAACCTACCTACAGTCTCTAGAGAGGTTAACCTCAAAAAGAAATAGCAACGGAGACTATGGGTAGACCCTAAACTGTTAAGAAGATTTTCGTGACGACGTGTGAAAGGTGCTCCTGGCTTCCCAGGTAGGGCTGGGCTTTGGCTTAACGGAAACCCTAAACCCTAAACCCTAAACCCTAAATCTCTAAACCTCTAAACCCCAAACGCTAAACCCTAAACCCCTAAACCATATATCGGTTTTGACTGAAGTCTTCGGAATACAAGTAGATCGCACGCGTTTTCGTTCAGATTCTTAGATCTGTCAAAAAGAAGCCATCTGCTGGGATTTCCGGGGCCCCAAGTCCATGTTTTTGGGGGTCTCTGGGTTGAGGGTTTCAGGTGGGACTCCAGAAACCCACACCCGAAACCCGAAACCCTAAACCCTAAGACCCAGGATTTGCAGGTTTAGGGCTTTCAGAAGGTATAACGTTGTGGGCCTTACAACTGTAGGGACCTGAAGGTTTATGGTTTGCAGGTTTTTCCCACAAGTCCACTTACTGGCCACTTTAGGGTTTCAACTGGTTTCCGAGTTTAGGGTTTGAGTGGATGCAAGAAGCCAAACCGAGAAAAGCCACGCCCTAACCTCAACCCAGCAAGGAAAGCCTTGGCGCTCTAAGACTCTAAGCCCCGTTTAGGGTTTAGGGTTTACCTTAAGAACCCAAAACCCACTTTTCTGTAGGTTCCTATTATAAACCCTAATATGGGATTTATAGGGACCCTACAAAAAAGTAGGTTTGGGTTCTTAAGGTAGATCCAAGCCCCCGAAGTTTCATTCAAGCCCGAAGCTCTGCATATGATAGAAGGAAGCTCAAAGAAATGCCAGCAACCCCAAAGGAGCCCATTACAAGGACCCTTGAATCATAGGATCCCTCTAAAGGAAGGCCGAAAAAAGCTCTCCAAGGAAACCTTGGGAATTTAGGGTTTAGGGTTTATAGAGTTTAGCGGTCTAGGTTGTTTGGGGGTTTAGGGTTTTGGGGTTTAGGCATCGACTCCATCACCTCCCGTTCTGTTATCTTCTCGAAGCAGATTTGCTGGAATAGGGTTCAGGGCTTGGGGTTTCGAGTTTTTCAGTTTTCCAAGTCTACAATTAATACCTACTCACTCGGGGCTCTAAAGTCTACAAATACGGTTTAGGGTTTAGGGTTCAGGGACACGGTTTGGGGCTTACGGTTTAGGGTGCCACATCCCTGCAGAGTTCGCGCAGCAACATCTCAAACCATTGGAGGACGATCTCCCCATGGACCTGCCGGAGCAGACCGGAATCGCTTTCACTGCAGACAAGCCGGGGAATGGCCTGTACCGATAATATATATATATATATAGGGGCCTCAATAGTTACCAATGCTGTTTTGGGGCGGCTCCTTATTATAATTTAATAGTAAATTACAGCATTAAAGGCCCCAAAACCCTATTCTAATTATTAAGGCCCCTATACTGTTATTATGGCCCCTATATTCTATAACTACAAGCCGTTGCCGCTTACCATGGTCAAGTTCCTTGCAGGCAGGGGATGGCTCGGGTTCGCCTGGCACCGACAGATGTCCCAGAGGGTCCTATAAGTACCTATACAGTAGAATGCCGGGTTTTTATAATACGAACTACTATTATGATATGAATAGGGGAGCCCAGCGATTTCTTGAATGGGTTTGGGGTGCAGGGTTTAGCGTCTACGGACAGGACGTCAGATCCAGTGGTTCAAATGAGAAATACCACTACGACTCTCTGGAGTAGAAGATGTGATGAGAGCGGTCGGCAATTTGCACCTGCGGACAGGTGCGCATTGTTCTTGCACAGAAGCTTGAACCTCAAAGCGTATACCTTGGTCCTAGTTGTATGACTAACTATAAGGTCAGAGTTTCCAGAACTCTACCTAAATCATGCACCCCTATCAACCGAGAACCCTAGCAGAACATTAATCATATTTAGCATGAAAATCTCTAATCCTACCCCACGAAAGCCTTAAAACCCTAAACCCGAAAAGCCTTAATTCCTTAGCCATAAAACCCTAGACACTGAAGCTCTAAAGCCTCAAAGCCCTCTACCCCCCAAATCTTAAACCCTATAGGGTTCATCCCAGGTTTCGCAAAGGCGAATTCCATGGGCAAGGTGCCCTCGCCGCAACCTCGGCCTACAGGATTTGTCCCCAGAATTAAGGAATGTACCTTCAATCATATGAGGGAACCTGCTAGAATTCATGCGATATTCCTCAATTAAGGGATATACCTTCAAGCATATTAGGGAACCTACTAGATTTCAAGGTATGTTCCAATCAAGGGATTTTGGAAGGTCTGGGTCATTAGACTTCAGCGTGGTTTAAGGATCCCAGCTTTGCTTACAGGCTCCAATGTAGGTCATTTGTTGGTTTAACCAGTTTACATATTTAGGATCCTGATCGGGAATCCGCCAAAGGAACTGCAATGGAGACTATAGGTAGGAGTGAGGTTGAAGGTTTTTTAGAGTTTAGTATTCAGGGTAGGGCTTCATGCGCTGGCGGACGTAGAGATCGACGTCAGGGTCTGCGGAGGGCTGTGACAGGGCTACAGGATGTTTCAAGCCATTTACTTCACTGTGTTCTTGTCAAGGAGGTTAATCAGAGTTCCCATAGTAGGAATCTTTAGTCAGCCAACATGTGGTTTCCTCGTTCTGGTTGTCTTTTTCTAGAACTCCTTACAAAGAACACAGTCTAGACAGATTCCAGGTTTCCTTTGTCTTTGCTGCTGTGCCCCAACACCCCGAACCCGGTAAGCCCTAATCATGAGCCCCCGAGCCCTGTAAACCCTATGAGCCTGTGCGAACAGTCTTGGCACAGTTCGCGTGTTCCTGCAGTATGTATCTGACACATACTTCCGTACTTGCTCTTTTGGATGTTGCTTGTTCGTGTGTTGCATAGCCTATTTTATGTTTTGGGTCAGTATGTATTTGGTGGGCTCCTTACAACATGTGCATACGTATATACATACATGCATGTGTATATATATATATACAGATGTGCAAACATAATTCTTTACATATGTATGCGTGCACATATGTATATACGGATCATACACATGTAGATACATATGTATATTTATATATATATATATGTCCCTGCGCTAGCATTGCGGCCGCGACCTGAGGTCTATCCGAATGGAGGCAGGTATCAAGCGACGTGCTGGCCTGAATCGGTCAGGGGTTCAGGGTCTGTGGTAAGCCCTAAGCCATACTTAAAGATTCATGGGACTTAGTAACGAGGGATACAAATAATGTAGGTGAACTTATACCTAAGTAATTATAACCCGAGTTAAGGTATTTGTAACTGTACTTACTACGTCCCATGAACCTCCAGTTATAGATCCCAGACCCTACACCCTGCGCCCTAGTGGCTCTAAAACCCGTGCCTCCACTGTCCTTCGAGGAGGGTTTGGAAAGTGATTTTGACATGCCCTAAACCCGAAACCCTAAACCCTCCACCCTAAACCCTAAACCCTAAGGGGTAGGTTGGGGGGGACAGCGGGTTCACTCAGCTAGCCCGCCCTGAAAAAGTGAGGGGTCTAACAAGCTTTGTAGCTACCGCTCTCCTCCAAACCGGGTGCGAGGTCTCCTCTGAATCCTTCATTTCAGGGTTTAGGGTTTAGGGTTTAGGGTTTAGGGTTTAGGGTTTAGGGTATAACCAGCAAAAAGATCTTACTTAGGCCTTAAACCACACAGGGCTTCTTTCTACGTGATTCTGTAGTCGTCTCGTTCGTGCAGGGCTTGAAGGGCTTGCTTTTAATGGCCGCGAACGCCCGTTGATCAGATGGTGTATTTTGCAGCAATGCAGATCTGGCCGCTGTGGAAAAGCCCTGACATCAGGGCGGTTCGGAAAATTGGGCACGTCAGGAAGCAAAGAGGTCCGCACCTGGTTGGGACACTGGAAGCACCCAATAGTGATTCAATAGTGCGAAGGTTTGGGCGGCAGCGCTTCAGTCGACGATTCTGCCGCACTCGCTTGGTCATCGCATCGCAGGTGCGAGTTGGAACCTGATGTGGATAATACATCCCTTGATCTGCTCGTGGAATGCGATCCAGTCTCCTTGCCGGCGGCCCCAGCAAAATCCCCATAATGTTGCCGACGACCCTTTGGGACTGTATGGGAACATGCACCCGTGCGATATGGTCTTCCGCTTTGAACCACGACCCTAAAAGGTTAAACTTTCAAGTGGTCCCTTGGAGCAAAGGACCCTTGTAAAACAATTTAGCACCTTTATACAAAGTAACCTTGGCAACACAATGTGAACCCCCAAAGACCCTTGTAACACCATAGTTGTGTACCCTTCCAAGAGCCTTTAAACAACCCCAGTCCTGTATGTATGTACAGGTATATAAACACACGCACACACATTCCGGCGATTCAATGCCCAGAGCTGCGGGTCAAGTAAACGCCCAATCTCTAAAAAGAGGTTCTTGCGTAGCCCCTTGGACCGGTAGTGTACTGCCTCGGTCTTAGGGTTTAGGGCTCAGCCCAGCTAGCACCGAAAGTCTTTCCCAAACAATGGTGATTTCTAAAGAAAACTCATAGTCTACTTCATAGGTACTTTTAGGACGCCCTGGGGGTATATGCCATGGCTTTAAAAGACATGTTACGTGCGATCCAGGCACATGGTAATTTAGCCTTTCGGAATACTAGACACATACATAACCGGACCAGCAAGAATCAAGGTACCCGACGGCGATTTTGCCGTTCGGGATTTGGCGTACTCAGAAACCTGAGAATCAAAGTCGTCCAAGCACATTCCTCCTGCGACCGCCGCAAAGCCAAAGCACACACCCGAAGCCGAAGCTTAAATAAGCCTTCCCGCTCGAAGGTCTTAGGCACATGATAGTATGTTTCCTTAGTAGCTGAGTGGATACACTTTACACTTTTTGGGTTAATATTACCCACGATAAAACCGAAAGTGTACACTTTTTGTGGTTTATGAACTCAGCGACTAAGTTTCGGTGAGAGGGGCATCAAGTTTTCTCGATGTAAGAAGCAATGACTCCAGTCCATGACTGAACAGTAAGCGAAACACGCAGACTACATCTGCAGCCAGGACGCGTTAGAGCCTGTAGGGTTGTAAGACTTAGATAGTTTTGGTGCAAGTCAGGATTTGTAAATGCTTAGGGCTTCGACGGTACATAGGGTTCGGGGTTTCGGGCAAGTGATGCACTGAAAAGCGCGTGAAGGGTATCTTCCGTCCAAAGTAAAAGTCTTGGAAATCTTCTACATACTGGACTCTGCAGCAAGGATGACTGCTGATTCGCAATAATCCTGCACTTACCGAAAGTAGCCCGCACATTGGGAACGGGGGAATTGTCCTACTTGGGTTAGTAGCAACAAACATCATAATTACTTCATGTACATCTGTATATTCGCAGGCACCCATGTATCCTTTTCACAGGCGACCTTGTTCTCGATTGTCCTGAGGTTGGGTTTTGCGGTTAGGGTGCTTCATTGACTTGAACAGGGCTTCCGGTGTTATCGAGTCCTTCGTCAGCACATAAAGACGTGGCGTTGCTGAGGTGGGAGAGAGGCTACGCAGTAGAGGGCAGGCGGGAATGGAAATCCATCCTTAGCCCTAAACCCCCATGAAGGTTGGTAAATTCGCGGAACTTTTGTAGGATATTGAGGGGGCGGGCTTGGTGGTTTAGAGTTTGGGCAGCTGTTCTGCCGCAGGGAAGACGGTCGTGTTGGCTCATTGTCATTAGTCTTAGTGTCATACGCACTCTTTGATGATGAAGGCAAGTTTTTTTTTTTGACTTATGTGCTGCGGTGCAGAGTCGACCCACAAGTAAGTTGGCTTTCAGACGGAACACAGTTATCCTAAACCCTAAACCTTAAACCGTATCCTTGAGGAACGGGGGAAATGAGGGCGTTCAGAGATACTCGCAGTGGAGCCTTGCTTGTAACCACAGCCTACCTGCCAGGTGCTCACTCCCGCAAAGGTGCTTTACTAAACCGTAAACCCTACACCCCAAGCTTTCGAGGGTCGCATTTATTGGAGGGGTTAGGCCGAAGTTGAATCTTACGGTCGCTTCTAGGCTGCAGAGCTTGTGATGAAGCTACCGTTCAAGCAACAGCCTGATTCAAAACCATCAGACCCAGAGAGTGCCCACTTAGCATAAGGCCCAAGGGTCCATGTGCCCAAACAGTATATACTTTGGCCCCAAAGTACCTATATTAGGAACTACTTTCAGGCCAAAGTATATACTATGTGGACCCTTAGGGTTAGAGGCTACTTGTTGGTTTCTTCGGTCAATCGGGCAGGTAAGTCTGGACACAAGTCGTTGTAGCAGCGATGGAGTAGCTCAAGAAGTCTGCTTCCTTTCAGAAGCCGAAGACGGCGGCACTCATCCCAAACCCCTTTACGCTTCCATTAGTGATCCTGCACAGGTACGTCTTCAACGACGGCCTGCTCTATGAGGACAAGAACTGGCAGTATGTGTCCCGCACTTAGACATACCCCGAATGCTACTGAAACGGAGGGAATCTCCAAGAGCGGCTTGAAGCCATCATCCGGTGCCGAGGCCCAGCACCCACCCAGTGTACATACAGAGAGGAAGGGGCTGATGATACCGTTGCACTCAAACCTTCCCAAATCCCTCAATTAAGGAACATACCTTAAATTATTGAAGGTCTGGGCAGGAGGGACGGTAAAATACCTTACTAACTGTCTAGAGGAAATCCCGGATAGAAGACAGATCTTCTGGGGTGTTGTTTCTTGTGTTTTGAAGCCCTGAACCCTGCCGTAACCCCATACCATCCTAAGCCTACCTTTGCAGCGCTCCCCCTTGCTATGATTTCTTCCTTTTTATAAGTCCTTTCAAAGGTGGGTTGTTTGGGGTTAAGCTAAACCTTGCATCCCGAACCCTGAAGCCAAAAGTGTCTCACCTCTGCTTCGAAGGCGCATCGTGTAGGACGGCTTGGGATGTAAAGGTTCAGGCCCTGTAAACCCTAAGCCGTTAGCTCTAAGCTGAAACCCTCAAGCCCTAAACTATCAAGCCTTAACCCCTAAACCCCTAAACCCTAAACCCTAAACCTAACCCCCCCCTCAAAAAACTTCGAAAAAAACAACAAAAGCCTAAACCCTTCGGCCGTAAACCTTCAGACCAGAGTTCATCGCCTTGTACAGGTCGCAGGGCGATCGACGCTTCTACACCGAAGTGAAAGAAGGTCCTGGATTCTTTGGGGAGGTTTTTTTTTGTGAGACTCGTCACGGTTCTATAGAGATTTACGGCGTAAATTTACGGTTTTATATGAGATTCTTCAAGGCTCTATAAGGATTCACGGCTTTATATGAGATTCTTCAGGGTTCTATAAGGGCTTACGGCTTTATATGATATTCTTCAGGGTTCTATAAGGGTTTACGGTTTTGTGGGGGTACCGTTCTCCGAGGGTCTTCGGATGCTAGGGTTTGTGAGTCCTAGTGTTGTGTCCTCAGTGGCTCCCCACGATGCGCTTAGAGTCCTTCCTTCAACTCTTCAACGGTGCTCAGCATGTAGGGACGGTGTAGGGTTTAGGATTTAGGGTTTAGGGTTTAGGGTTTAGAGTTTAGGGTTTAGGGTTTAGGGTTACTCGGAGCCTGTGTGCGATCTCGGTTAAGGGATCAATGTGCAGATGGGTTCCTACAGGACCCTGAAGACTTAGTGATGCTAATCATGCTCCCCGGGTTCCCCCTTATGAGTATGCAGAGTATAACACACCCCAAAGCCCTGATCTGAGGTTTAAGGCCCCTGGCTGAACTTAACTTAACTACACCCTTTAGCATCCAGTAAAAGACCCCTATAAAAGCCCCGCGTAGCTGTTTTCAGCCTGTATATTGAGTTTAGTAAGTTCCGGGACCCGGTACCGGGCCCATAACATGTTTCAGAGGTCACAGGACTATCCACAAGCCATGCGTAATAGTAAGTTTGTGTATGTATGTACGTAATTATCTGTCTAGTTATCTATCTATCTATCGATCTATCTCCCTATCTGTCTATCTTTTTTTATGTATTAAATATTGATGTGTTCATAACAACCAAATTCATCCCTTGGAAGTCTGGAGGCGGAAACCCTGTGATTAAGCCAAGCCCGACGCCTTTACATGCAAGGACCACCCAGATTACAACCTTTGCGCAAGCACAAAAGACGAAACACAAATTAAACCTTTACTAAGCCCATAAACGCTAAGATGCCGTGAGCCTGTAAACATCCTGCAAGCTTCTACAAAAACTTCAAGCCCTCAAACACCATGAGATCTAGGCCCATAAACACCTTGTCCAAAAACAATACAAAGCCGCGTAAGCCCTGAAAACATCAACCTTTCAGAGCGCTGTGCCTTTTTGTTGACGGAAACAAGAAGACTCGGGGCGCACTTTGAGAAGCTTTTTAGTTTCTCTTTTGGTGATATAGAAGTATCAAGCGGCACTTCGAAAAGCTGCTTACAGTATCTGCTCTGTTTATATATATATATATGTATATATATATATAGATAGATCTTAGATAGATAGATAGATAGATAGATAGATAGATAGATAGATAGAGAGATAGAGAGAGAGACAGAGAGAGAGAGAGAGAGACAGAGATACCGTGTGATAATAACTTCTTCACCGTAAACCCTGAACCCTAAGCCCTAAACCCCCCTAAACCCTAAACCCTAAGCCCTAAGCTCTAAACCCCAAACCCGCCCTAAGCCCTAAACCCCAAACCCCCCCCCTAAACCCTAAACCCCCCTCAACCCTCAACCCAAAACCCCAAACCCCCTAAACCCCTTTAAAGTGCAAGCCAGAAGAGGTCTGAAGCCGGCCGGCGAAACACTACTGACCAACGAGAAGGCGGCTCTGGGGCGAAGGGAGAAGAAGGAGTAGGTTACACTTAAAGGGTTTATAGGGTTTAGGGTTCAGGAGTCCCTCTAGGGTTACGCTTAAAGGGGGTTATAGGGTTTAGGGTCTAGGAGTCCCTCTAGAGGTGGTGGAGTCAAGGTTTTTTTAGGTTAGGGTTTAGGATTTCGGATTGAGGCATTAGGGTTTAGGGTTCAGGATGTCGGGTTCAGGCTTGTACAAGGCTTTCGGGTTTAGGGGGTCTAAAATGCACTGTGCAGAGTTTAGGATTTGGGGTTTTGGGTTTAGCTGTCGTGTTGCTCGGGTGTTTTGTGGTGCTGAATAGCGATGAAGATGACGTTGGTGGGGCGCCGCGGATGATGCTGCAGCTGCACAAGCATTGCATGCTCATAACCCTAGCAGGCGTCCGCTTGCTTGTCACGTCTTCCTCATAAGTACACAGGCGTAGAATCTAGAACTTGTCTTTCGCCAAGGCCCTGAACGGACAGACCCGCTACTGAGACTATCCTTCAAGTGACACTGGGACCAGCACGGGGACATTGCTCAAGGATATGTGCGGGGTAACCCTTAACCCTGAACCTCAGACTACCCTACAACTAAATGCCCTGTAAACTCGCCTGAACACCTAAACTACCAACCATCTAAATAAAAAAAATAATTATAAATATATAAGTATAGATATAACTATATATATATATATATACATGTTTACCTTAAACCGGCGTCTCTTGAAACAAGCTTTGCACAAGCTGAAATCTGTGAGGTTCCTCCGCCGATTCCCAAGGGCACCTACGACTATGGCGCTTCCCTTGGATTAGGATTTCGGGGTGGCTGTAGAGCTTTACAGCTTCGGAGCTTTAATGCGTCGGATTTAGGGTTGCGGGTTTAAGCTTTTAGGGTGTAGGGGCTTAGTAGTTTCGGGTTTAGGGCTTCAAGGTTTAAAGTTCAGGGTTTAGGGTTTAGGGCTTCGAGGTGTATGGCTGTATGGAAAAGCAGCCTACCCATTAAGATAAGTTTTAAACTTCCCGCCTAGTCACTCCTAGAAGGATGGGTTAGCCCAAGCCGCAAAGTCGTGAGCCAAAACGGGGTTTCCATTGGTTAAGCTGAGGCTAAGCCTGTGGTGATAGGTTAAGGGATGTTTGAGGTTTAGGGCTTAGGGACAGTCCCAGCTGACGACGGGGAATGCGATCGCCATGGGTTTACCACACCTGAAATCCGTAATAACGGTTCAGGGCTTAGCGTTCTGGGAAGAATATTACTCGACATAAGATGCCTGCAATGCCTCCACTACACCAGAAACCCGCACATAAGCCCTGTCCCCAAAATCAACTTACCCTGAGAGATTGAAGCTAAGCCTCTTTATGCTATAGGTTTAGGGCGAAACCTTACAGCGTGTGTGTCAAGACCCTGTGGCTTTCGACGAGGGGCAATTTGTCCTATCCTGGAGGCGTAGATTGGAGCGAGCAGCAATGTGAGCTAGCTACTCAGTCAAACCGACCGAAGCCACGGCACTTCCTGGAGTACCCAATGTAAACTCAACAAGCGGCAATTTTTTGTTGTTGCTGCGGTCTGTCCTTTACTGCTTTCTTTTAAAGGTGCAGCGGTCGCGCTAGAAATCTAAGCCATAAACATAAACGGACCCTACATGATCCGGTAGGTTCCCAACCAAAGGATGGTCAACAATATAGGGGCCTTAATAACTACCTATACTACTTTGGGGGGGTTCCTTATTTTAAATGTAGTAAAATGGGCCCCAAAACCCTATTCTACTTATCAAGGCCCCGATATTACTTGGGATTGACCTCGGCAATGCCGCCTTAGGGCCGTTTCGTTGCTTTGTGTGCTTTTCGACTTGCAACTTGTCTGCCCAAAATCCGGAGGCTCACGTTCAAAGGCAAGTAGGCTATATGCCATAAGGTTGAAGCACATGCAACAGCACAGATAGCTCCATGGGCCAAAGTTTGCATGATACATTGACGGATGGACAGACAGACGGACCTGTAGATGCTATGGGTGGATGTGTTTTGTGATGTATAGGTAGATAGGCGTCGGTTGGCGCATCTGGAGCTGCATGAGGCATGGTGTGAGCTAAGGAATGTCGGTGCATGGGCTTCATACATGGAGAGACACATGTATATACACTGCACACACACACACACACATTTGTTTACATGCAAGCAGAAGCATGTGCCTTGTGCGTGCTTCTTCGCGCACACAAGGTCTGAACTTTATCATGGTGTATCGTGTAGCATGCACGTCCAATAAGTCCACGCGGTAGCAGACCCACACGCAAGGTGTCGCGAGACTGCTGGAATGAACTCCTGACCCATCGACATCATATTCACATGGTACCAAGCTGAAGCCCAAACTCATGTACTTGAAGCCATGGGCGTTGGCAAGCTTCCGCCACGATTGCTTGTGCGGAATCTTAGTTTGAAGAAGGGTCCGTCCGTATTGATGGTTCCAGCTTCGGGTTGTGGGTTTCAGGTTTCGCGTTTAGGGTTTCAGATGTGGGATCGGTCTGAGGCGCTATATAAGGGTCTATGGTTTTGCAGATGACGGTTGAGGGTTGAGCCGCCCGGGGTTAAAGAGTTCAGGTTCCCTAGACTCCATGTAACTATATACTTAGTAGATACTTAGGCCGTAAGGTAAGTTATCTTTATAGGAACCCTGTGAGGCTTAGACTATACCGCTAGGGTGGTCCTTGGCTGTTTTGACGGTGCCTAGTTTTGCTGTTGCAATGAAACATGTTGTGTCATTAGTGCTGTTCTGTTGCTGGGGGTTGATGTATGTCGCAACCCCAACCCCACATCCATAGCAAACGTGCCACAGGCTTCTGTCCCTAAACCCTAAACCCTAAGCCAGAAACCCTACATACTAAACCCCTAGACCCAAAGCCCGACACCCTAAACCCAAAGGCCTAAACCCCCTAAACCCAAAGCCCCTTGACCCCAAACCCTGAACACTTAACGCTAAACTCTAAGGCCCAGACCCCTAAACCCCTGAACCCTAAGGCCTCAGGCGCCAAGCCCATGTAAAGGCTGCCTCGCTTTCCTTCATCACTACAGGATCCTGTGGGCAGTCTTCCCCAAAACCTGAACCCTAGGTTTAGGGTTTAGGGTTTAAGAGAACCCCAACATCCTAAAACTTTAAGCCTCAGGGTCCAAAGGACCCCCCAAAACAAGGTACTTCGGTCGCGGATGGTAGCTATCTAGGTTAATATTTCGGGAGAGTATCTGATTGTTAGGTACCTGGACCCCGAGGGTAAGACCTAAACTCAAAACCCTAAGCGTAAAACCCAAGACTCGACAGCCCAAAAGCCCCAAACACTAATCTCTACAAGCCCTGAAACCTATAACACCAAGCCCTGAGTAAAAACCCTACAGCCCAAAATTTCAGGATCCTGGCCTAAAAAAAGCTCTGATGTTTCAGTTTCTCATTCAGAGGGAATTAAGGGGCTACAACAAAGGGTAGTTGGGGGGGGGGGGCTAGAAACCCTCAACCCTAAAGCCCTAAAGCCCTAAACCCTAATCCCAAAACCCTCAACCCTAAAGCCCAAACCCAAATCCCTACATCCTAGACCCTAAGCCCTAAACCCTAAAGCCCTAAAGCCCAAACCCCTATACCCTAGACCCTAAACCCTAAAGCCCTAAAGCATCCAAAAGCTCCCAGAATCTCACTAACCCTTACACCCCAAAACCTAAAGCCTAAACCCTAAGCCCTATAAGTTCCCCTAAAGGAACCCGAAGCCCTCCTTTACCCTTAGCATCAAAAAAGCCCAAAAACCTTATATGTTAGGGTCTTTGGGCCCAAAAGCCTTAAAACATGAGTCCTTTGAGGGTAAAGGTTACAGCACCCAAAAATTCCAGGATCCTGGCCCTAAACCCTGAACCCTAAACCCTGAACCTAAACCCTAAAGCCCCAAAAACAAATCCCAGGATCCTGGCTGCAGTCTACCCTAAACCCTAAACCCCAAAACCTAAACCCTAAAGCCCCCAAAAATCCCAGGATCCTGGCCCTAAACCCTAAACCCAAAACCTAAAGCCTAAAGCCCAGAAACATTTCAGGATCCTGGCTACCCTAAACCCTAAACCCTAAAGCCCTAAAGCATCTCAGAGCTCCCAGAATTTCAGGATCCTGGCTTCAGTCTTCTTCCTTGCGCTGAGCTGCCTCCTGCCAGCCTTCCCGGCCTTCAGCAGGCGGCGGTTGCGAGGGGTTGGGGGCGGTTGGGGTTCCTTTAAGGGGGGGCTTGTAGGGTTTAGGGTTTAGGGTGTAGGGTTTAGGGTTTAGGGTGTAGGGTGTAGGGTTTAGGGTGTAGGGTGTAGGGTGTAGGGTGTAGGGTTTAAGGGTGTAGGGTGTAGGGTTGAGGTTTTAAGGGTTTAGGGTTTAGGGGAATTTAAAGGGAAACCCTAACCCTAAACCTCTAACCCTACTTTGAAGGGGTGCTGTAAAGGAGGGCTTAGGGTTCCTTTAGGGGGGACTTGAAACCCGAAGGGTCCAAAGGACCCAATAAGAAGGTACTTTCGTTGCGGATGGTAGTTATCTAGGTTAATATTCAGGAGAGTACCTGATTATTAGGCACTTGGACCCTTCAAGAAAGGGTAACCTTAGCTCTAAACCCTAAACCCTACTTTAAAGGGTGCTGTAAAGGAGGGCTTAGGGTTCCCTTAAAGGGAAAGTTAAGGGGCCCCTATAAGAGGTTGAAGGGTTCAGGGGTTTCGGGTTTACGGTCTATAGGGTTTCAAGTTTAGGGTTTAGGTGCTTGGTATTTGCGAAGACTCCGAAGGATAAACTGGAACATGAGTTTGGGATAGACGTAATGTTTAGCAATGTAGGGTGGTTTTCCTTGGGGCAAGTTGTACCCTGGTTCAGGAGGCAGTCGAGGTCCCAGGTTGTATTTAGCTTTACGGTTTGAGGTTGGGCTTCAAGATTTTGGAATCGAGGTTATGTTCATGGACCCACTCAATGTACCTTGCAAGCTCCAGCTTATACTAAACGCTGACTTGATGGGTCGAGGGGGCTTGGAAAGGACCTTGTCTTGGGCAGCCTTCAGAGAGTTGCACTATAGAAGCCTGCAGAACTACCAAGCATATTCCTCAGGGCTCCTTGGTATATTTGTAGGCAAATATTCCCCAAAGCCCTGTTCTAATTATAAAGGCCCCTGCAGGGGTTCCCTATCATAGCTGTAGACAAATGTTTCTATTTATAAGGCCCCTTCAGGGGTTCCCTATCATAGCTGTAGACAACTAATCTCTCCCCAAACCCCATTAAAAATATAAAGGCCCCTGCCGCATCAGATCAGTTCTTCAATGATTCAAGGGCCCTGGAAGTTTTCGGGCTTGGGACTCGAGTAGCCTCCACATGGAACCGCAGCACTATCGCTGATAGGGTTTAGGAGTATGGTTCTCGACCATCGTGATGAATTCAGGATTCTGGTGAAGGTGAAAATGAGATGGTGTTGGTGATGGTGGCGGCGGTGGTGG